TGACCCCCCCCCCCCCGGCCAGACGCCGGGTTTCCCTGCCATTGGCAGCTCCCCCCGTGCCTGGGGTGGCTGGAGAGGAGCTGGGGGAAGCCGGGAAGGGGGGGGGACACACAACGTCACAACGTCCCGAGCCATAAAAGCCGGGGATGAGATCACCGGGCGGCCGTGAGTCAGCCTCCCCCCGCAGCCCTGCCCCAAAGGCCCCCACTCATTCCAGCCACCGACACGCCGGTGGCCCCCCGGCTCCTCGCACACCTCCCCTGGCCCCTGCCCAGGAAAATCCTCCACTCCGGAGTTATTCTGGGACATGGTGAGGGGAGGGGGAAACTCTGATGCAGCCGGAGCTGGGTGGTGTCTCGGAGCCAGGAGCTCTGAGGGTGTCCATCACTTCTCGCCTGGTGTCATGGCCTCTGGGTTGGCCCTGGCATGTTGTCCCCCTGTGTCCCCGTCCCCTTCCTGGGATCCAGCAGGAGCCAGAGCCGAGAGCAGCTCCGTGATGGGATCTGTCTTCCCCTCCTGGCTCTTTTGGGGGGGTCTCCGCAGTCCCTAAAACAATCAGAGAACTCAGTTTTGAACGTGGGGTCTGCTCATCCCTCCTGAAGGGGGTGACAAGCCCGAAGGAGACGTGACGTTCAGGGCCGTGGGGCTGGGCCAGCTCTCCCGGGGGGCCCGATGGCTCTGCTGGGGCCAGTTTCTCCCCTGGGAGATGGTCACTGCTCCCAGCGGCGTGATCCTGGTTTCCATTGAGCTGGGAGCACCAGCCGCCTTCTCCGGTTGCAAAGCACGATGCAAATTCCAGCTGCGCTGGGGGAAGGCCCTGGATGCTACTGGGGGGGGGGGATTGGGAGAGGTGACAAATGACCCTGGGCATGGCTGCTCCTCGGACCCTTCCTGGGGAGCCCCGGGGGCAGCCCCGGGCTGTTTCCATCCCCCCTCTGCGGTGGGATGAGACATGCCACGGATGCTTCACCGGGATTCACAGGATGCTCAGAGGGTGTGTTGGGAGGCAGCGAGGATGGAGGGTGCTCGTGTGGGTGGGGGGACCCTGCTCGGGTCCCTCTTGCCCTCCCGGCCCAGGGGGGTGGCGCTGAGCACGTCCCCCCTTTGCACCATGGGGCCAGATCCATCCAGCCCCCTCCCTGCATCCCTGGTGTGAAGCCCATGGGAGTGTGACAAGTGTGATGAGTGTGGCCGTGGGGGCTTGTGCAAGGTGGTTCCACTCCCCCCAACCCCCAGCCCCCTTCCCTAAGGCTCTCCCCCACCAACACTGGTTTCACTAGGGTGATGCTCCTGCCTCAGTTTTCCCCAGCTGCGCTCAGTGCTGGTCCCCAGTAGCCAGGGCTCTCGTGGCCACACCACCCTCCTGTCCCCGGGCCACGGTGGGGCTGGGGATGGGGGGCAGCAGGAGCAGGGCTCCGTGGGGACGGGGGACGCGGCGGTTGAGCCGGGGGAAGCAGCAACTTCCCCTTGTTCAAAGGCCAAGCCCAGCTCAAGGCGACGAGGCTCGGTAGGCGTTAACGAACCCGGCTCGTCAGCCACCAGCACTTTTTTGCTGCACTTCTTCATGGTCCTCCTGGAGGCACCGTGGAACACGCGGTGGCTTTCAGAGCTCCACGGAGGGGCCACCCATCCCTCGGTTGCCGGCTGCCCCCAACACGGGGATCACCACTGGGGCTCCAGCACCTTCCAGCCGCCCTCGGTGGTCACCGGGAGCTGCTCCACTCCATGGCCAGCTTGGGGTTGGGGGTTGGTGGTGACAGGTTGGGGGTGACCTGCTGGAGAGCAGCTCTGAGGAGAAAGACCTAGAAGTCCTGGTGGACACCAGGATGCCCAGGAGCCAGCAATGGGCCCTGGTGGCCAAGGAGGCCAATGGCATCCTGGAGGGCATCAGGAAGAGTGTGAGCAGCAGGTGGAGGGAGGTCATCCTGCCCCTCTGCTCTGCCCTGGGGAGGCCCCATCTGGAGCACTGGGACCAGTTCTGGGCTCCCCAGTTCCAGAAGGACAGGGAACTGCTGGAGAGGGGACAGCAGAGGGCTACAAAGATCATGAGGGGCCTGGAGCATCTCTCTTAGGAGGAAAGGCTGAGGGACTTGGGTCTTTTTAGTCTGGAGAAGAGAAGACTGAGGGGGGATCTGATCAACACCTGGAAATACTTCAAGGGTGGGTGTCAGGAAGATGGGGCCGGTCTTTTTCCAGTGGTGCCCAGGGACAGGACAAGAGGAAATGGGCACAAACTTGAACATTAGAAGTTCCACCTAAACATGAGGAGGAACTTCTTTCCTGTGAGGGTGGCAGAGCCCTGGCAGAGGCTGCCCAGGGAGGTGGTGGAGTCTCCTTCTCTGGAGACATTCAAACCCACCTGGACACGTTCCTGTGGGACCTGCTCTGGGTGGCCCTGCTCTGGCCGGGGGTTGGAGGAGATGATCTCCAGAGGTCCATTCCGACCCCATGGGATTCTGTGATTCTGTCTCCAGAGGATGGTGGCTGCTGAGCCTCGAGGGAGCGTAGACGTGTCTCACCTCAAGCCCTGCAGCGTGTCTCGCAGCCCCGGTGACCCGCAGCTGTGGGGCTGTGACAAACCCAGCGTTGTCCCCAGCGCGGTCGCTGGAAGGCTCTGGTCTCAGCCCTGCTGGTGTCTGGTCCCACGGGGCAGAGGTGTCCCCCCAAGTCTGGTCCCACAAGGGTGGGTGAAGCAAAGTGGGGCTGCCTGTGAGAGCACCCGGAGAACGAACAGAATGGGCAGTGGGGGAGCTAAAATAATAATTAATAATCATCATAAAAATCAAAACCCGTTGAGTCATAAACTCAACAAACTTGACGGGGAGCCACGTGACGAAGCCGGCCCAGAGCCTGTTGTGCCGGGTTTTACGGGAACCAGCCAGATCTGGGACAGGCAGAAAATGCACTTAATGAACCCACACCCAGGGACTTCCCGGCTCAGGGGCTGGACAGAGGAGGATGATGAAGAGGAGGATGCTTCCTTTCAGACCAGGTCTTTGAGTCCTCCTGTGCCCTCAGGGTTGGAGCCTGGGCTGGAAATAGGAGACCCAGCTCTGCTTGGCCTCTCTGCCCCCGCTGTCTCTGTGCCCATTTCTGCACCCAGAGCCTTCCTGTCCCCAGCGCTGGGAAGGAAAACCCTGGTGACTTCCAGGGGACGGCAGGAATTTTCTTGGGGGGTGTTTACTGGGAGCTGTGGGGCTGCTGGGACAAGCAGAGGCTGCTGGTCCCCCTCCCTAAGGGCAGTGTCGCCCGGCGGCTTCTCCCTGGGTTGGGGTCTGGGGTTGGGGGGCAGATGGGGAGACCCCCATCCCAGCCAGTCTGGGCTGTGGGGTTTGCTGGGATGGTCGGTGCCGGGGGATGCTTGTGCAGGTGTCTATTTTTGTCAGTTATGTTGACGGTTGGACAAGATGATCTTTAAGGTCCCTTCCAACCTAGAAGATTCTGTGATTCTGTGATGCAAAAGCCTTTGCTGGGTGTCCAGGGGGGTGACACTGGGTTTGTCCCCCCCCCGTGCAGTTGTGCTCATCGGGGACTCCGGGGTGGGCAAGAGCAACCTGCTCTCGCGCTTCACCCGCAACGAGTTCAACCTGGAGAGCAAGAGCACCATCGGGGTGGAGTTCGCCACAAGGAGCATCCAGGTGGACAACAAGACGGTGAAGGCTCAGATCTGGGACACGGCCGGGCAGGAGCGGTACCGGGCCATCACCTCGGCGTGAGTGTCCTCGTCCCCCACCCCTGCCCCTCTCCCGGGGCCCTGCCCTGACCCTCCCTGTCCCCCAGGTACTACCGGGGGGCGGTGGGAGCTCTGCTCGTCTACGACATCGCCAAGTACCTGACGTACGAGAACGCCGAGCGCTGGCTGAAGGAGCTGCAGGACCACGCTGACGCCAACATCGTCATCATGCTGGTGGGCAACAAGAGCGACCTGCGGCACCTGCGGGCCGTGCCCACCGACGAGGCCAGGAGCTTTGCAGGTATCACCCCCGTCCCATCCTGTCCCGTCCCATCCCATCCCACCCTATCCCATCCTGTCCCATCACGTCCCGTCCCATCTCATCCCACCCCGTCCCATCCCAAGGTGGTGCACAGCTCATGGCACCCACCTGAGCTCACCCTTTCCTTGCAGAGAAGAACGGGCTCTCCTTCCTCGAGACATCTGCTCTGGACTCCACCAACGTGGAGACGGCTTTCCACAACATCCTCTCGGGTAAGGGGCAACCAGGAAAGGGGGTTAGGGTGGAAGGGGATGAGGGATGGAGATGGTTTTGGACATGGTGTCCTCCCAGGACCATGCTGGGGATGTTCTGGGTGGGATCCTGCTCCCCTGGATGGGGAGACAGAATCATCGAATCGTCTAGGTTGGAAGGGACCTTAAAGATCATCTAGTCCAACCATCAACCTAACTCTGACAAAAAAAAAAAGAAAAAGAAAAAAAACCAAACCACTAAACCATATTCCTGAGGACCATGTCAACCCGTCTTTTGAACACCTCCAGGGATGGTGCCTCAACCCCTTCCCTGGGCAGCCCATTCCAATGCTGGATAACCCCTTCCATGAAGAAATGTTTCCTAATATCTGATCTAAACCTTCCCTGGTGCAACTTGCAGCCATTTCCCCTTGTCCTATCACAGAATCACAGAATCTTCTAGGTTGGAAGGGACCTTAAAGATCATCTTGTCCAACCGTCAACCTAACTGACAAAAATAAACACCCACACAACAAACAAGAAGCATCCCCATCACTAAACCATACCTCCCAGCACCACATCAACCCGGCTTTTGAACACCTCCAGGGATGGGGCCTCAACCACCTCCCTGGGCAGCCCATCCCAATGGCTGATAACCCTGAAAAAATTTTCCCTAATATCTCCTGGGACTTGGAGACGTGGGCATCTGCACCCCTCGAGCTGGGTGTTTTGGGAGGGGGCAGGTCCCCCACTGAAATACAAACTTAAAGACCTTTTTTTTTCTCCTTCTCTCCCCCCTCTCCGCCGGCAGAGATCTACCGCATCGTGTCGCAGCGGCAGATCACCGGGCAGCCCGAGTCCGAGTTCGGCCCCACCACGACCATCGAGCCCATCCGGGTGCTGCCCACGCAGCAGGAGGGCAGGCAGGCGCCCTGCTGCCAGAACATCTGAGCCCCCGGGGGTGCCCCCCACCCTGACACCCCCGAGCACAGGGTGGCATCACCTTTCTCACCCTCTACCTCTGCCCCCTGCAGCCCCCCCAGGACCGGGCGGGCTGGTGGCTTCTTCTGCACCACTGCTCCTGTGTGCACCATCACGATGCTCTCCCTGGGTTTATGTAGGACCTACACAAATTGGGGGGTGGGGGGAAGCACCAGGGTCTCTCCCCTCTCTCCCCACGGCTTGGGACACGCCACCCCTCGTGTCCTTGCTTCCTCCACCCTGGAGGTGACTCAGGGTGGCACCGAACAAGCCCGAACAGCGTGACTCCCTTGTTTGGTGCCACGTTCCTGCGGCACCCCTGGGTGCAGCCCTTTGGGGAGGGGGGGGGACATGGGGTGCACCCTTCTCCTGCCCGGTGGAGCAAGCGCCTGCGCCCAGCCCTGCCCCTGCAGCACCCCCGGGGCTGGGTGGCACCTCTGGGTGCCCCCGGGGCAGCCCCGGGACACAGGTCTGGGGGTGCGGGGGGTGACTCCCCGGCTCCCGCCTGCTCTTGGTGGTGTCAACCCCTCGAGGTGTCCCCGTTCAAGGTGTCCCCGTGACACAGCCCCCACCGAGGGAGACCCTGCACCTCTCCCACCACTGCCCCAGCCCCGGGGGGACACGGAGACATGTCCTTTGGGTGGGGACAAGGGGGTCCTGGGGGATTTGGAGGGGTGAGGGCAGGGATGTGGCAGGGAGGGGGTCTGTCC